GCAAAATAAATGTATTAATAACGTCACAAGGCGCGATGACAGTATAATATTCCTTAACAATATGGCACGTTAAATATTGAAAAGGGCTCATGATGTATACATACACACGTGTGGATTACCGCTAGTCGTATAATAGGTAGGGGATATTCCTCTAGTTTCATTATTTATCGCTCTTGAAATTACGTGAAAAAGCCATTATAATAATTACGTCTCGAGTGTTGGTATTATAACGTATTGCGTAGGTATTATTATATAGGTGTCGGTCGTCAAACCTTCGGTCGATCGAAAAACCACTGCTTTTAAGATGAATTGAATCCGTCTGGTGCGAGGGCCCAGGACTTTTAAAAATAAAAATAATTTTGAAATTGTCCCATTTGCGGGTGTCGAACATCGTAGTAATATTATGGAACAGCGTTTAGGACATTTTCTTGGCAAGTGTGTCACTCGGGCCGAATGACTGAACACTACCTATAAGGTATTTAATCGACTGCTAAATTATCTGAAAAATAAACTGCCTATGAAAAATATCGATACACTCGTCGAATCGTGTCGTTTTGAAAATCGTTAGGCTTCCTCTAACTCAACCCCGCCAATCAAATTGTACCAGATCTCCTCCTGCAATACGTGAACTCATTTCTCGTGTAGGCGATTATTATATTGTTATGCCATGAAATTTCGATATTATTTTTATGTTTATGGCTGAGACGGATTTCGGAACACAAACGGTGGATTACTGACGTTTCTGGCAAAATACTTTTGTGACAACGACCACATAATATTATTATCGGTTTAACACCGTTTGCGGTCAGATCGATATCGTTACGAACACTCCAAAACTATGTATACACCACCGATGTGAACGGTATCCATCGTGTGTGTTTACCTCGTCATAGAACGATAAGATTTCGTGTGAAGTATTCGAAAAACGCTTAATAATATTATATTAATTTAGTGATTTTACACGCTTGTGAAGGCGTCGTGAAAGTTTTAAGCAGAGTACGCATAGCACGCGGCGAATGGCGATCGTATAAGATATGTTAAATAACAATCGCAAGAAGCCTTGTTATCTGCTCTGGACAGACGCGGACGAGTGTAATTTACTTAAGATTATTTTCAAGAAAAAAAACGACCGCAAACTTTTTTATTCGACCATTAAATCGTTTTCCCGAGGGAATCCAGCACCGTAGGCACACGGAGAGCAACTCGACTGCGATTCCACACCACACGAGATAATAATATAATTTACTTAAAATACGAGTGCGAAGATTTTCCACTTTTGCCCATACGACTTCAATCCATTTGACAGCAGCAGTAGTCATGCCCTCTCCCCGTCGCATATGTATCCACTATCGTTTCGTAGGTAGTAATATTATTATGTTATATTGTTAATTTACGATGCTCTTGCTGACACGATGAGACACGGTAATTAGTTTTTAAGGCAGTTAGGTAATTGTAATTTTCAGATGTGAGATAAATAAAAAAAAAAAACACGACTACAAATTTCGAAAACACGAAATATTACTGGCAGAGACGTGACGGAAAATTTCGAACGCAAGACCTGATAAAATAATAATATGATATTGTACAATGATCGTCGAGAGGTTGTGTTCGATTCGAATGGGCGTGACAGTGAATAAATATTTTCCGATTTCATCTTGATAAAGCGTTTGTAAAATATGATGTACTGAAATCGTCATTAGCCATGCGCGCGTTATCAACTAGAAAACAGACTTTTAAGGGTTTAAATTTATTTTTCGTAAAGTTCAGTTTTAAACTATAATATTATAATAAGTATCACAGTAATATTGTTATTATTAAGTTCTGGTTCGGTCGCAGAAGTAAAAAGGTTCTCCGACGAAATGATTTCGTCTGCCAATCTAACTTGTATGGTATAGGTATACTATTCTCGCAAGTATATAAGATAAGACAATATAATAATACATCTTAATAACGACGACACTGCTTACCGTGGTAGGATTTATGAGAAACGCCATTTTGAACAGTTCTCTCTTGTTACGCGACAGTGACGGTATTTGGTTGTTAAAAAAAGTTATCATCGTAAGCAAATAAATTATTGGCGTTCAGACCATGGTTGAAATATACAAGGTTATTACATTTATAGCCCTCCTCAATCAAATATTTGATGATAAAAACAAAAATGGCAGCTTGAAGAGAGCCAATAATAATCAAGTACCTATATAGGTATGATCGGGATTTTGAATTTGTGAGCTTACTTGTCGGATTTTGATGATAAGAAAAATTGATATTTGTGATATTCTTTTACGCAGCCTTTTTGTTTCTGACGATAACAATCGGAGTCTATATGCAATACAATGTATTACAATACATTTCAACCATGGTTCAGACCGATGTCGATATAAATCAAACGGCGAATGTGCGAGACGATGCTCAATATTCCTCCATGGCATAACAATAATAATATTATGGGCATAGACCGAATCCGACGAATTACAGGTGGGTACAAGTAGAATTTTTTAATCTAATCGTACCTCGGAAGTCAGCTGGAACGTTCGTGTCGATATATATTTTATTTTGAAAAGTCGAGAAAAATCTGTTTTGTTTTCACTATTAATATAGGTAATATTACATCCACACGCGTCGAGGCTCACTGCGGGAAAGGCGCACGACGTGTGTGACACTGGTTAAACCCTTTGTTCTGAACCTGCATCAGCATAATAATAATATTATATTATTATTTTACTACGACAGAAAAGAAGAAGAATATTATTAATATTGTTATCGTCGTTGCAGATGAGATTTGATTGGATTACGAACAACAGACGTTCGTCAACAATGTAGCAGCAGCCTGGCAGACAACAACAACAATAATAATAATTTTATATAGGTAATATTATTATTATGATATATCAAAATATATGAGGGCCCTATTAATTATTATTGAACAGAGGGCGTCTCGCGAGGCGTACGAATGACAATACTCCAAGTGTGTACCTAATATAATCATAATAATTATTATTATTGTCGATTGAGGTTTACTCGTAGGTACCTACCACACTGGTATAGGCTATACCAGAAACAATCGACTGCGATGCTGTTAGGTATTTCGATAATATTTATTGTATTCCATCTTAACCATGTTCACATCCGAGGTCTCACACTCGCGATATTACAGAAATATTATGACATACCTATACGACCGACGCAAAAGAATTCGAACAGATTTTCGTCGAAAAAGTTATTTTCCACCTCTAAATGTCAATGCGCGATATGTGATAATAATATGATTATTATTATGTGACATGTCGTTATGATGGTATTATATTATTATTATTATTCTCTGATTGATCGAAAACCGCGTATTTTAAACAATCGAGAGGATGCATTGTCACGTAACTATACAATATAATAATAATATTATTATCGTGTCGTGTTATTATATTATTATTATTATGATGTTTTGTCTTATTTTGAGAAAAAAAAACCGTTCGACACAGTCATTGCGGCCAACAGACGCGTATGTAGAGAAAAAAAAAGTTTTACAAACATTTTCCTTTGAAAAACATAAATCTTCGAACGACACGGGTAGGTATTATTGTTGTTGTTGTTGTTTTTGTTGTTGTTAATTCCGCTTAGAAAAAATAAAATAAAATAAACACGCTGAGTGTTAAATTTCAAATTACGAATGCAAAAAAAAATAATAACAACGATAAAACAACTGACGAAAAAAAAACCGACGATATTAAATTGTACGACGGACAGATCGCATAACAACCAAAAAAAGAAAACATAGAATAGAGTGTGCATAAATCACTATAGTCTATAAATCACTAGAATAAAATTCCTCGTGCCCTGTTTAATTTATACCACTCATGCAGCCTCGGCTTACTTGAGGTGATTATTCTTCACGTACCTAGGTACCTGCCTATTTTTTCTCCTCGTGCGATTTAAATCACACCGACCGTTACAGGGTTTTAATTCGTTTTTGTATCGGCTTTTTCCCCCTCCCCGTTCCGGCCGGTATATGTCCGGATTTCCGGCAATGTGGATCGATCCGGAAACTTTTTTCTTTCGCAATCGCGTAATTATACGATATAATAGTCCCTATATATAAGACGTACAGGTTAGTCCGCGGTATATGATAATAATATCATTGTTTCGTTTCGATATACTGATTAACCCCCCCCCCCCCCCAGAAGTTCTCTCTCTCCTATATATTATTATATTATACATCACAAAAAAAATCACACGAGATTCCGAAGGCAACCCCTTTTCCGCCCCCCCCCGCGTTCGTCGTGTTTGTTTGCGCCACCTGTGGCTGTAGTACTGTCGCACAAGTGGCGAAGGTATAGTCACCAAATTCTACCACTCGATGTTACCGCGGTTACGAACCTGTACACCGCGGCCGTGACCTAGGTTTAACAATATAAAAGTCTGCGCAGAGTGATGTTCGTTCTAGTGTTTAGGTTAGGCACGAGGTTTGGGGTCAAGGATTGTGTTGTAGAGGAGTGTTCAGCGACAAGAAAATAATCACCCTGTAACTGCACACTGATACTAAACGTTAATACAATAATATAGGTACGAAGGTAAAAATAGGAACCAGGACGTAATATTTTTATAAATGTCGCACACTGCCGTGAAAACGAGTGCGACGGGCGGCGACGAATGAAAAAAAAAACATATCGTAACGAAAGGGATGAAATACAATATTAATTATTAATGAACACCCCTCCGATAATGTTCCCATGTTATAACATAATGTATTGCGTTACGTGAAATTACGACCTATAAGTGTGGGGTGTGTCAGTGGCCGTCAAACGGTGGTTGTGAGGAGGATAAATCTTCCCCGCGACCTTTTTTCCAACGTTTAAGATTTGATAATCATAAATTATATTTTGACAGTCAAATAGTGCGTTGAAAAATCAGTCATATCCCTTCCCCACCCTTGACAAAATCATTTGACCACCACTGGCGATGTGTGTGCGTGCGTGTGTGTATGTGTGTCTTGTTCAGTCTTGTCGTCAAACGAACGGGTGGAACTTAAGGGTAGTAATTGGACCGGACGCGTTAGCGGCGTCACCAGCTGGTGCCATGCGCGTCATCTCGATGGACTCGTGGCCAGTGGCACCGCCGTCGTCCTCGTCGCCGCCCCCACTGTCACCCCCGCCGCCGCCACTGTCGTCGCTGACGGTGGCCACCAGGGGGTTGGCCGCGGTGTACCATTCCCGCGGCGCGTCGTTCCTTCCGGCCGGAGGTGATCCGTCGGCGGCGTCGACGGAAGTGTCGGCCGCGGGGGGAGTGTCGGCCGCGGGAGCGCGAGTCTGCCGGGGCGGCGACGAGCACGAAGACGACGACGAAGACGGAGACCGTTCGTTTCGCTGTCGTCTCCCGCTGGCCGCGGTCTCGTCGTCGTACACCGTCACGGCCACGTGGTCGCTTTCGTTGAGCCACTCGAGCACGAGCGTCCGGTGCGCCTTGACGAACCGCTCGAACACGTCCACGCCCGAAACGTCCGTCTGCACGGCCACGTCCGCCGTGCCGGCCACCGACGGCCTGTGGTAGTACCGCGGCTGCTGGAGCTGCTGCTGTTGGTGCGCCTGCGGCGGCGACGACGACGGCGGGTGCGTGTAAACGGTGCCGCCGCCGCCGGTGTGCTGCTGCTGGTACGGCAGACACTGCTGGTTCGATTGCTGGTACGTGTGGTGTTGGTGGTGCTGCTGCTGGTGGTGTGGTTGGTGTAGCAGGTGGTGGTGGTGGTGGTGGTGGTACGGGTGGTGAGGCTGGTGCGCCGGACTGTCGTATACCGTCCCGTCCCAGCCGAACACCTCGGGCGGGTGCGACGAGCTCCGCTGCAGGATGGCCATCTGCGGCCGCTTGACGTTCTCCGGCAGGTCCGGGTTCGACCTGGCCGGCAACGAGTACGGATACCTGACGTTCGAACTGGTCGTCGCCAGCTCTTGCAGCGCTTGTATGGCGTTTTTCACCTGAAACAGAGCACAGATCGTTCAGACTTGGACACTTAAAGGCACGCCCGGTGACGTAGGTATGACGTGTCTATAATATATTATTATTACTAAATATATTTTATTAGTTGGTGTGCGTGGGTGTGTGCATGAGTGAGTTGGTGGTGGGAAAATATTGTGGACTTTCACGATTTGAAATAATTTAATCGAATCGATCAATTGCCGCTAGGACCAAAATATAATGTTCGTAATATATAGTGTAATAATATTACATTATTATAGTGTACATTAATTATGTATAGGCTTCTGAAATATTTCACTTGAAATTTTTCAATTAAAATATTTCAATGGAATTATAAAAAATGTATTATTATTATTATTCGATTATGTAATATAATTAAAAATAACTATTGATTAAACATAGAGCAGATCGATGGTGAAAATTACTTTTACCAACCTGCAAGGTTTACGATTTCCTGGTATGATAATGCGGTTAATGGTTATAATACGAATACATATTATAACTTATAAGATATACTTAATGGTAATGGACTAATGGTATTATTGGTTAATTTAGAACTTATCGATTGGGTCCCTGGCTATTGGCTATTATTTATTAGTTTACGATACAATAAACTAATTTTTACAAAAGCTTATGACTATATACACTTTTACTTTTTTGTCCTAATAAACTATTTTGTCACATATATTATATATTTCGAGAAAATAAATTACAAGAAATTGTAAAACCCTTAGGAAGTATATACAAGCAAAATAAACACTATACTATACAAAATATTCAATAGTGCAAGGTGAAAAAAGCAGTATTATGTAATTTTGAATATTTTAGATTCTGAGCGAAACGATGAATGTATTGATTTTACAATGTTAAGTGTGCGTTTTTTTTTGTGTCTTGAGACTTTTTTTACTGTAGAAAACTCGATTTTAAACTTTTGCACTTTTTCTGGTAAAAAAAGTGTATCTATAGTTGATGCATTGGGGGGATCAAAGGGTTAGGTTAAAGTAAAAAGTACTCAGTGTTTTTTGGGAAAATTGGAGAAAAATTGGTAGTTTTACGCAAAAGCAGTTTCCGGCAAATTAAATTTTCTTATTTTGTTGTAATCCAAAACAATTTACTAACCGTAGATACTTGAAATTATCACTAAATATTTTAGTATTAGAATTTTCTACACGTGGTATAACTTTTAAAATATTTTTAATCTTTTTTTTTTGTTGCTATATAGACCCTATTTAAAAATGTTTTAACCTCAGATATTACGAGCAAACTAATAATCGTACCGATTCATATTTATACTAGTCACCTATATTATTTTACTTTCTGAACAATGAAATTAATGTGCTTGATATAAAAGAAGAGTGAGTGGAGTGAGTTCTTCACAGACATAGCGGTAAGTCGACCCATGCGCGTATGTATATAGCCTATGTACTTAATTAGGTGTTTAACCTACGCAGGAATCAGTGTATTACCTATAACACCTCGAAGTATAATATTTAAAGTGATAGAATTTAACTCGATACAACGCAGGCACCTACATATGGATTATACACGAAGGTATAAAGGTATATATATTTTCAACCGTTTGGAGAGGATTTTTTTATTATTTTTTACATAAAACGGCTTTTTTATTGCGACATAATGACACTGTAGCTGCAGGTCCTTTGTCGTTTGTACGGATATTGAAAACGATGTTTATGTACGGTTGCAATTTTTTCGAAGCGCGCAAAAGTACATCCGTTAACTCCGCACAAAATTAATTCAATCACAGTCACTTCTGCGGCTGCGCGGCGGCATACACTCGCGATAATATGACTAAATGATTTCCACGAGAAAACAACGGTCGGTGTCGGTGTGTAAGTGCCACGAAAGTTTTGCATATTACTGTATATCGTTTCTGCTGGAATAAATTCCACTAGTACAATTAAGAACTTTAGTTTACAGCGGGGTTTTGCTGCAGAGTTTTGAAAACGTTTAGTAAAATTAGAATGCAAATTTATTGTTATAATCGTTTTTGTTTTTTTTTTTTTTCCCGTCGGAAATTGGAACGCCTCACGTTTATATAAACACTGCAGCGCATTTATTTGAATTTATTACCGTTCCGTTGTTACACATTTTTGTTTTTACTTAAGTCGGTCAGGAAGGTATAATAATAATAATAATATTATAATAACCAAATGATAATTTAATGTGACCGTTTTTTCATGAGTTAAGGGTACCTATAGGACCTGGTACCCATATAATAATAATGCATAATATTGTGGTCGTTAAGTGCACGATTAATGGTCACTTGTGTTTCAGATATTATTTTATTATTCATCGCAATCGCGATGTCGTTATACGAACGATGTTTTTTTTTTTTTTTTTTTTTTTATTTATTTGAAGAAATCTACAATCTATACATGCTTTTTGTACAATAAGTAGGTTTGATATAAGAAAGGTAAAAATATGATATGATTAGTTAGATTAGGGAAGATACCCAGTGGTAACACCCTATTAACGAACGATGTTAGGATTTTTTTAAGCACCCAGAACGATTTATTATTATTATTATTATTTTTTTTTTCATCGATTCACGAGAAAACGTAGGTAATTTTGAGAAATGTATAATATTATTTATAAGATACGGATAAAAATTTATATTTTCCAAGGGCTAATAATTATTAATGAAACGCAATATGTTCAGAATTATTGTGATATAGTTATTGATAAAATATAGCATTGAGTACGAGTTCTCTAAATAATATAGACGTCTGTCTTACAGACAAAATATGTATTAATGACATCGATTTAAAAACATAGATATAATATAGAAACCTTAAAATGTATAATAATATCTATGTGAATGAAACAAGATGGAATGGAAGTGTATTTTAATATGGAAAAAAATTATTGTTATTTATTTAAAATTATAAAGCATATTTTGTTTTCACGAATTTAGAACAAAAAATACAGAACGTCTGACTGTGCAAAATACCTACAAAATGAATAATAAATATACGAAAAAAAAAATGAGCAAATTGTGTACGAATTTAACTGCAGTCTGTTAAAGGATACATTGAAAGTAAAACAGAAGGTACATATTTAAAGGTATGAAGACCCGATTTATTATTATTATTAATTAAAATAATACCTGATAGCCAATTCTTGCGCACTGTACCTACTTAAGATAATATATAAATAATTCATGCAAAAGTTGCTCCACTGAGATGATTCTTCAATTCCGTTTTCGAGGAACAAATCCGCGGTGGATCACATTCGCGCATTGTTACATTTTTTACGCAACACTTCGTGAAAATAATAACCAAGTCTTAAAAAATATATATTATTTGAATACGAACAAATATATACGTATGTATACAAAACGCTCACAATAAAGCAAATAACAGTCATTGAAGGAAAATAATACCGGAAAACGAAAGTTCACTTTCCATCGTAAAGTTACTTTTATATTTACTTATAATAGAAACAGCGGGTATACCTACTTGTCTGTCGAAACGTAATTTAATTTCAATTATTCATCAATAATTTATTAAATAAGAGTTCGTTAAAAGTTTCAAGTTTTAAACATCATTACGTTTCTATTATATAGTTATTAAAGATGTGTATACATTTGCATTAATATATTTTACATTATTAAACAATAGACGAAAAATTTGAAATAGTTGTACCACACTCTCCCCCCAAATCTTTCGATAAATGTATTCAAATGTTTTTGAACAGTAACAATATATTGTAAATTTGTAATCAATATGAAAGTAAAAGTTTCACCTTGTGTGTGACTTACCTCTTGACTTAAAGTTGCGACGTGATAATGAAGTGAAGTAACTTGTGTGTCCAGTCTGTCAACATTGACTTTTCTGTGTTCGATATCACTTCGAGGCAGCGTCCTTGATCTATGAGCATAAAATATATATTTTACTACGATCGACGTACTAGTGTTTAATAATTTTTTATCAAACGAATATAATTATAATTAATTTAATTGACTTATTTAGTATGATCATTTTAAGGAAAATAACTCAATAACTGTTTAATATATGTACTTACACAATACGTATCTACTTTTAAACAAGAACTGTGCAATTAAATATATTTCATTTTTGATTGAAAATTTTAAATTTAGCGAATTTGTTATACCTAAGGGAATTAAATAATATACTTAAGGTCTGACCAAAATATCAATGTAAAATGTCAATTTTTCAGCAGATTCAAAAATATTTCAACTTGTTATTGAAAATAACGATACCCAGGTACTTCACTGAATTTCCATAATATATTAGGTACAGTTTGTTCAAGAGCAGGTAGGTAAAAGTGCAGCGAAAATGTCTGTAATGATATAACTCTGAATACACGATTAAGTTAATCTCCAATTTTATATTATGTTATAGGTACCTAAACTGCTGTTTTGCAACACGAACACGTCGTCATGCATAATATTCTATGTGACAATGTTTTAAGTTTAAGTTTTACTTGTACATTTTGATCACACCTTCCGTAAAGAAACACTTTACACGGCTCCCCTAATGGGGGCCTCGGAAGTATAACTTAACAGCGTGAAAGTTTAGGTAGCAATTAATGGTACGATATTACTCGTGGTCAACTATGCTCTAATGTACCGTCGGGAATTTTATCGACTATGAAGTATCTCTGAGATGAGGGTATTTCAAGTTTGTACTTCAAAAAAAAAAATATAACATAGAAACATACAAAAAGTACGCATAATATATTGGCTATAATTATGAAGAAAACATTTTTGGTTTTTGTTGTTGCTTAAAATGTCGTTGACACCAATTTAAATATTTTAAAATACGAGACAATACGATGACACGTACAAACCTAATCATTGTGGTGTGTTGTTTATAGATTATAATAATATTTAAAATAAACAGTTTTACATAGATTTATGGATAGCTAAGTCTTTGAAATATATGTATACATATTTTATAGCAAGGTACTGTTTTAAGCTAGGTATATGTTTTTTTTTTAATTCATCTACATAAAATATACGTACTTAACTCTGATTGTTTTTTTTATGAATAAAATAAGCTATATAAATATGATATATATATATATATCATAATATGAATATATTATGATCTTCTCATTAATGCGAGTTCTGTTTTTTTTTTTATCTCACCTACTTGATAAGGTTTTGAAAGCGAATAGAATTTTCACGAAAAAAGTACAATTATGTAAGTACGAGATACCATTTTATTTATTGTTATTCGTTCTTTTTTATATTATTATCACCGTGGAATTGTTGCCGATTTTTTTTCTAAGGGCAACCATCTGTTTTTACGACATAATAAAAACCAGGTCACTTTTTATAATTTTTTAAGTCTCTTTGAAATGTTTTTTTTTTTCAAACCACCATCGATTTAATCATTTTGCACACAATGTACATTATATTTTACACGGTTAGTTTAATATTTTTAAATTGTTCACCTGTTTTGAGATAGTTTAGTGAGGTTATGTCTGCTCGGACTATAACTGGAGTGCAACGGTGATCTAGAAGGAGGCGATTTCGGAGATCCGTCGCATTCTTCTTGCAAGTTTTCATCGTCTTCGCTTATCGACGGTAACGTTAACGTCGTAATACCATTTTGATCGATTTCCTACGCAAATTAAGTTTTCAAAATAAAAGGGAAAAAAGGTTTTCAAATTGAATTATGCTAGTTCATTCGTTATAATAAATATTACGGAACACAACAAGTAGAAATTGTTAACAAAAATTACGAGAAACAACGTCAAGGGCTCTCAATCTACATCTTTAAAAATTATTTTCAATAATAAGTGTATACTTGTTGGTTTTTTAAAAGTGCCTACAGAAAATTAGACGTTCTTTTTTTTTTACAAATAATTGGTTGTCTCTGTCTTAAGTACGTTACATTAACTATAGTTATCAATTTACTTTCAAAATAATCAATAGCGAAGATTCTATGTTCATGATAATAATATTATGTAAGTAAGTCATCGTAGTAAGTAAAATTGTCAAACAATCAAAAGCTAAAATATTATTTGTGAAACCTACTTTATTATTATTTTATTTAAACCTTTATAATTTAAAACAAGGTAGGTATTATAAGTTTTTTAGTATTTCAAATAATAAATTACACTCCAATGAGAGACAAATATCCATTAAAATGAAAAGCAATTACATAAATTACTTATCATTATAGTGATCGCTAACAAAATATTGTTGACCTATTTTATTGAATAATAATATACTAATATACACATTTTGAAAGTTACGTAAAGAGAATGTTTTTACAAACTTTAAAAACTATCTTCTGTCTTTTAAAATGTGTAATGTGGTGATAAATCACACTTAATTAATTTTATAAATTTCTTATTGAAAAAATAGTTTTTAAATAAATTTAAAAGAATAATACTTATATCTATACCTAGGTCATACTCGTGAAATAATAATTTCGTTCGGCGAATATATTATATCATAATAATTGACCATTAAAAGTTTTGGAAAATTAACTCGACATTATATTACGGACTGTCACACACTATAGCTACTTATACTAAAATATCGTTTCAAGTGGTAAGGACCCTGGAGGTCACAGCCATAATATATGTATTTTAAAACTACACATTTTTACTCGATATTTCATAAATCATATGTTTATGTCGGACAGTTTATTTTTTTTAAACATCACGTCAACTTTTAAAAAAATATTCATGTTTAAAAACTATATAGTACCTAATATTTTTACTATTTTAGAGATAAAGGAAACGTAAAGAAAAAAAACGTTAAGAAAAAAATTCATTGATAAGGTTACCATTTAATAATTCTTAAGACTTTATTATAGTAAACATTTGGTTCCTATAATAGGCGAGTGACTATATATTAGTAGGATATTTGTAGACATAATATAATTTTATATTTTCAAGTTTCATTCCGGCGAGGAACAGTGTTTTGTAATCATGCAATTTCAAATAATAGCAATGACATAACATTGTGTTGATTATTATAAACATTAATTTTTCTAAATAATTTGTTAACATTTCATGTAACGAATCTCTCAAGAAGCGATTGTGTGTGACATGCCGAGAGCACAATTGGTTCAACGCAAAATGTAGGCTCGTTGTTAATTCCATAATAGCTATTAACGAAAATATCATATCACATTATAGTGGGTGTATTATAGAAATATTAATAACAATATAATATTATGCTTTCAATTAAAACAAAATATGTACTTTGTGAGGTTTAATTACTTCGGCCTCGTATCCTTCACGTATGTTGTACGTCAAGTCATGTTGTATGTCATTTGCAAACTCCTGTTGGTACTCGGGGTAAAGCCGCAAAACTTCTACCAACCCGAGCACATTAATGCACTTTAGGTCGCAATAAGTTAGAGCTTTGACATCGCAACTAGACTTGACCACCGTGTCACCTCCTGTTCCACCACCGGTGGTCCCGCCACCGGCGACAACTCCAGTGTTACCTGAACCGCTGCCTTGGCCCAGCCACATGCTAATGTCGCATCCGACCAAATCGCCTTTGCCTGTAAACACAACACGTCGTCCGACGTAAGTACGCGATCGCCACGATGTTATGTGGCCCGTGCTAGAGCCTTTCCGATCGATTACCGAACAGGTAAGCGTATACCGCGGTATCGGAATAAATATTATATAAATAATTCAGTGGCGGCTCGTCAGGTGAGGCAAGTGAGGCTCAGCCTCACCTAACTGTTGTAAAAAAAAAGGAGGTATATACTATAATTATAGTTATTTCCATAATCGATTTTAAGAATATTATATTCAATAATATATTATACATTTATTATAATAGAAAAACTTTTTGTTATCATATAACATTATTATCATGACAAAATGAATTTGTTTTGTCATGTATAATAATTAATATTAACTGTCATAGTCCATAATAATATTTATACATACTTTGACGCTGTTATTAAAAATCACGACGATGTTCGTGGAACGATAGAACGATCTCGACGAAAGCCGAAGAGTGCCGAGAGGCTAGTATAATATTTAGCTTCAGGCGAGTCGGACGGCCGTACGATTATAAAAATATATACCATGATAGTGGGGGAAGTCGGAATATTATTATTAAATGAGGCTGAACGATTCGGGCCTCAGAGTTTGTCAACATTATCCATTAGTCATTTGTCGAAACGACTTGATTTCCACTAATAGAAAAAGGAACGGAGAGGTTGTCATCATGTCGTTTAGTGTAAGTGTATACCTACCTATAATACTTTTATTACAAACTAAAGATATTATCAGTTCTTATCGAACAAATAACAATGAACATATTATTATTATTCAATTTTCAATTTCGGACTTGTAGATACTAAGGCTCTAATAGAAGTTTTTAAAGATCCCTAGGTACTTCATACTTGTACTATAATAGTAGAACCATTCTAGTATTCAATTGATTAATAATTTATTGTTTATTTGCCTCACCCCTCATACGGTTCACGAGCCGCCACTGATAAATATTATCATTACTCGTTATAAAATAACGTAAAATATAGGTCATTGCGCGCCTTGTGTAATACCATATAATTCGTCGGAGCCGGAATATGACCTACACCGACTACGGTAGGGGTAGGTGTTGTTTAAAAAAAAAATATCTATCGATTGCTCGCATTACCTAAAATTGCGACGACCATGCCGTTCTGGACGACTTCCATGGACCCGTTGCACAGGTAGTAGATGGACGTGAGCGCGTCGCCTTTGTGGATGAGGTATTCGCCGGGGGCGCAAAAGTTGCTACGGATGTGCAACGACAACAGCTTCAGGCAACCCTGCGACGCGGACTCGAAAATGGGCAGCTGCAGTATCTCCCGGTGCAGGTGCATGGAAACGTCGCCCCTGAGCTCCTCCGGAAACTCCTTGAGCGTCTGAAACAAAAACTATCGATTAAAATGGGCGAAACGGCTACCGCATGGGTTGGGTGGGTGGGGGAGACGGGGCGAGCCCCGGATGGCCGCCCGCAATTACCTCGTGTATGTCGATACCGTGGTTCAGTGACCACATGGTCTGGAAGTAGTCCTGCATCCTGTGCTTGAGCTCGCTGGGCACCTGGTGCAGCGTCAGGAAGTCCTTGAGGTCCCGCCACTTGCTCTGGTACAGCGACCTCCGGGAGTACATGCGCTGGATGATGGCCGTCACGTTACCGAACACCACGGCGTGCATGAGCGCTACAGTGGTATACAACACGACTGGTAATAACTAGGTAACAATAGTATACCCGAAGGCGGGTTCAATGGAAACAAATTGATCTGAGTTATTATAGTTACGAGGTTAATCCGACGTTAAGAATAATAATATAATGATATTATTTCAACACTCTCAAAGAACTACTTCAAAATATGTCTGCAAGGTCTGCTGAATTATTGAATAAAGAAATATATTTTATTTTAAAACCGTCATGTAGGTATACCAAGAGTGATACTATTAATACAATCATGTATGCACAATTATACATTTACACAGTTAATATTAAACGAATAAATACTTTAATATAGTATACTTAATACTTTTATACTGGTTATATGGATACGTATCTATAAACACGATTTTAACGTATTATTTTTTCAAAAAAAAAAAAATAATAACGCCAAGACGACAGCTCACAGTTGACTATTTAGTAATTATTATCGATATGTGAAATATAAAATTCCATTTCAAATGCCATATAACACTTTATTGGTTTTTGCAGCCGTCTCGAAATCGTTAATAACTCGAATTCGTTTTTTCTCCTTGAACTTTGAACTATCTCTAAAATTCGACCGTAGTCATTAGGTTTAGATAATACAACAGAGGCTAGGGTGTAATATAATTCGATTTTTAACTAAAATCCACTTTAGTACACAGCCGAATCACGGGGGAAACAATGATAACGTCATAATCATGGTGACGATGAGACGACGTACAACAAGACTTAACATCATTCCTTCGGACTTACCTCCAATCAGCATCGTTATTATGCTGAATATTTTCTCTGCGCCGGTGGTGGCCGACACGTTACCGAACCCGACGCTGGTCAGACTGGAACACGTGAAGTACAACGAAGTTATGTAAGCCTCTGAGTGCGTCACGTTGTCCACGTCCTTGTGCAGACGTTCGGCGAGTGTGTTCATCCACCCTGCACAGATTTATAAGACGTAGTCAGTTATGCGACATTTATGATAATAATAGGAGGTAGTAGGCGCAACAATTTTTCTGGGGAGGTCAGAATTGTGTCAGCTGCGGCACAGACCCTGATAATTTATATTTTAAACCTAACCTGGGTTAAGGCTACCAAGATTCCCCCCCCCTAATTGTGCCTATGATAATAAGTATATGTATATACGGATATCGTTGCAGGTGTGGTTTTATAGTTTTAAACTGTTGATATAATATTTAGCTCGTCAGTATTACGTATAACGACCACATAAATATACAGTTATTATTGTGTTTGCGTAAGCGTATTTTTTTTTTATTACTACCCGCAGGTCAAAAAGGGTTAGGTTAGATTTTGAGACTTTAATACGTATTGATGAAAAAAAAACTTTCAATATTCGGTACAAGCCGATTAAGTAAAACATGTTTTCCCTTTTAGAAATACAATTTGGGTATTTAAGAGTTAATTCCTTTTTAATATAATTTACGCTCCATGAGATTTAAGTGCAGTCATACAATATTGTGATCGGATGAATTCCATTAAAATGATTAATAATATTCGGTAATGTTGACTAAAGAAATTTCGGTTCTCTATATAGGTACCTACATTATCATTATTTAGAGTCACTTGGGATTGTAATATTGTATAACTGTAAAGATAAGTTTTTTGTTCTCGATGTTTAAAACTTTTAAATGCAATAAATGACTATATAAGAGCTTATGTCAAACAAAAAGCACGTTGAAAAAGTTAATCATATTTATTTTTGATGGATATTGAACAAACTTCAGTCAATATACACATTGTTGTAAAACAAAAACACGAGGTCAGAAAGTCATGCTTAAACGAACCAAACTAGTAGCATTTACAACATGACTATCATGATCGTACCAAGTCATAAAATCCTCGGGAAAAATTCATTTGCATTTAATAAGCTCGACAGGTAGGTGCCGATTCGCCTAAATGTGAGCACTAACTTATAATTATGTGAAAAAAAAATGAATATATTTAACAAAATATCGACAATTTGTACCGGAAAACAGATATATAGTTATTGACATGTAATACCGATGACTATTATTATTATTATTTGACCAACTGCCAAAGAATCGTTTTCAATATGTTTCTCTGCAGTATTTTTCAGTTATCAAATATATGTAGGTATGTTACGTCATGATGGCTATACGATAAAGTTATTTTCAAGTATATACTCGAGTGCTGTATACTCTAGTTCAATAGTCCATGATGTAACAGTACTCATATATTATTGCAAGTATAGGTATGTAGATTTTTCAGAGATAAAATATAATAAATGCGGTGCACGACGTTACTGCAGCCGCGTGTTCTGCTCTTTCTATAAAATATGGTTTTTCACAACGACGTACATATAATATAGAGAATCGAGCATTATATAATGATAATAATAATAATATTGTATATTATATAAGTGAATATCCGAATATCCCAAATAATACGGTTTTTATTTACCGTCGATGTAATATTATTGTTGTGTAAACGGGGAAAAAAACCGTAATTTTCCATAATTTTCATATAGTGTACAACGTAGGTACGAGCATTATTCGACCGTGCACGTCATCATCTGTTCATGTATTTTATGTTGCGGTCGCATTATTATTATTATTGTTTGCGAAAAATAAATAATTATTAAATAACATGATGAATCACATGATTAAAAATGCCTACGCCCCCGCCAGCTTCTCCTCCCGATAGACGTTTCGGCCATGCGCACCCACACACCCACCCACCCACACACACGTCAGCTACTACCGTGTCAGAGGTTTTATTAGAGACCCAGGGCATCGTATATATAGTTGAATTTCCGAGTGCAGATGAGCCGCGCTCGCACGCCCGCTCGTGATATATATTATATTTAAATTACACGGGACCGGGTCGTAATTACACGGACGTACAACTTAAAATTGAATTTATTAGTTTCAATCGGCTCTTTTAGTCCTCGTCGGAGTACCGTTTTGATATACTACTATACACGGAAACAACGAAAATCCAGCTCGCCCACGCAGTGCTGCAGTCAACTGAAAATATTATTTTTTTAAGAGGGTTATTGTCCCTTTTTTTTTGCATACGTTCTATGTTTTATGGGAAAAACCCTAGAAAAAAACCATAGCACGCTACTCAATATTATTATTCCTCTGCAAGGAAAATCTACGAACCATATAAATATGTTTTTGTTAATAATAGTAACCACGACAGCGAAAAAGTGAAACCCTTACAAAATATAAGCCAGAAACAAAAAACCGTGTATTCAGGCCAAAAACAGATTTATGTTAAAATAATTGTAATAAACTATAGTAATTTATAACAAATAATAATTAATATACATAATAATATTATGATATCGTAATAATATATATTTTATTATTGTGAAAATCAATAAAAAATGTGTTATACGTATAATGTGTAGGTATACTGTTAAGTATAATAATTATATGCACCCAATTAAGGTAGGTATGGCCACCATGTCATTACCAAACGCACAGCAGTCTTTTCGACTATTGTCTATTTTTCGAATATTTGTACTTATTTTTCAGTTGACGGGAAGAGCTCATTTAGCTCATTTATTAAGTAGCGCACGATTAAGTAGCGGCCCCTAAAGGTCTTAATCCGGGCTTGCGAATGGTGCTTTCTAGACTTCTAGTTCATTAATTAATATAAGAAAGCGGATAAACTGGAACATTGCTAAGCTGATGGGTCGTGGCTGTACCGTGGTAGATACATAAAAACAAAATAATGGGGTAAAAAAACCATGATTATGATTATTTATTTAACTATAGTATTTTACATTGCTGTATACTGTAAGCTATTAATTATTACCTTAGGCCCAGTGTTTTTGGGTTTCTAATCTCATAGTGTTTTAAGAATGAAAGTACCTATTTGAAATATTTAGTAAATGAGTCAAACCAATATAAGTAATATTTTAAACTTTAAATTTCACTTTATTGTTCGCTTGTTTATAAGCAGTTATAAACCCACACTGTGTTGGAGCACAATAGGGATACTTTTATTTTTAAGATGACGTGTCTGTCATACATTCATAGCTTCGTAAATACCTAACTACTTATAATATTATCGCCGGCCGTTTAAATAATATTGTCAGTTAACAATCATAATAAAATTATGTAGGATGCATGTTATATTAATGTTTTATTGTTTATAATTGGAATACATAATAGTATGTCTATCATATCATATTATTATCTCGTTGGCTGTTTAATAACGCCAGTTACAAATTAATATTTTCAGATTTGTAAAGAAAAAATAATATCCATTAAGTACCTACTATAATATAAATTTAAAAAATAGTATGACGTCAATTTGAATAAAAACGGCAAAACAACAATTTTTAAACCTACCTGTAGTAATGATGGTACATATACAATTATACGTCATACAGTCTGTGAACACAATTAGAAGGAAAACGAAGTTCCATATTATTATTATATATTTATTTTTATTAGTATATTGCAAGTACCCTTAAGGCTTTAATACTGTGGGTGCACACGAATTACCTCCCTAATCTAGGTAAGTGATCTTTTTTCACTACAATTCCCTCTGTGTGATTTTGGAGGCAACTCCAGAAGGTAAACTAAATAATGTATCGATATTAGGTATACTATCTATCATTAGGTATACATTTTATATACATTTTCTTTATGCATAAAACATGTTCAAAAATATTTTAATGACATTAATTATTAATAAGTGTAGTTTAATAATTTACGAACTTACATTTTTGACAGTAAAATATTATATTATTCTATCTAGATTATTTGATTAATTAATTTATGTTATTTTTTTTTTTTATTATTATTTATACCAATACTTAATATTTAATTTGGCAGTATAGACCCATTTGTGACTCTCCTCTTTTTATTATATTATCATTATTTATTGAAATATTAACACGAGCATGCCCAGTGAGGCCCATTATACATTGTACACTATATTATGTAATATTTTTGTATTTTGTAAATAAATAAATAATTGTTATTATTATTATGATCACACCGTTATAATATGTGCGTTCAATCAATGTTTGAGATTTAACGTCAAATAATATTCAAACTAGAAATGGATTAATTTATCTATCTGGTGTGATTCCAGTAGAAGATGGACAACTATCTAAAATAGTAGGCATTTAAAAATCCATTGTAGAAAATTCAAGGATCAAACGCGAGGCAATCCAATTGTACCTACCCAAAAATGCCAGGTCGAAATTCGGGAGAAATGTTTACCGAAAGATGCAACTGGTCGCAACCACTTGTAATCTGGAAGGCACTAGAACTACCCGAATTCGAACCGCAATCGGGCATTTTCGAATAATACAATAAAGTACTAGGTAACATAAATACATAAGTTATAATGTTTTCTCCGACCAACCACTACATACGAGGGTATCTTTAAAAATATAGATTAAATCTTATAGATTATGTATAAATCCTATTGGACCCTCTCTCCACGAGCAGATCCTTTGGCCAGAGTTACTTTTGTACCTCTTACAAATTAAATGTTATTGTTAATGTGCTTTATAACAACGAAAAATAAAATATCATAAAATGTTATATTATTATATTACAATATAAAGTAGGTATTTGATTTTTATCTGTCTTTTGTAGGTATATTTATAAATGAAATATGTCCACAGTGATAATAATATGAGGCTTGTGCGAGCATTAAACGGTGTTTTAGCGGACGATGGGGAAATATTACAATATAACCTTGTATAATATTTTAATATTTAACAAATATTTTCAAATAAAAGATAATTATACATTACGAAGGCCCTGAACGATAATTCCCCCGATAATCCGTCAAACACAAACTGTACCACGAACGGTGTTTATTCAACACGAATAAGGTACCTCAATAACTCTATTCATTTTTCATCGTCCCGAAAACTTCATAAATATGACAAATTATTTTGTTTTAGCGATATTATGA